TAAAAAGAATTTTAATTAACATTAAAAGATAAAATAAAAGATGTTTTTTTTTTTACTTATACCTCAAAGCGTTACCGATTACTTTGAAATGTGGTCACTATTTTTAAAATAACGGTTACATTTTTTATATTTATTTTATCGGTACATGTACAGTTTTCATTTTATAGACTAAAATAGTGGTTTGCTACATGAAGCGTGATTTAAATAGTCTTTTGCTAATAGTGTCGACACGGCCTTCAAAGTGGAGGGGGTTAACCCCTCAATTTCTAAAATAATTGCCTAGATTTCTAAAACAAAAGGTCCTCGTAAAAAAAAGTGGGCTGGCCATGTCTCCTTTGACGGCCATGTATGCATAGCGTGAATATACCAACATTTCCTAAGGTATAAACTACTGCCATAATGCAAAAAAAAAATTCTAAAAAAATGGTTAAGAAGGATTTCTAGGGACACCTACATAGAAAATAAAAGTATTTATTTATCTGAAAACAGAACAACTGTGAAAAAACCAAATATTCTTTATATTGACAAAGATAATTAACTTAAAAAATTTAGATAAGGTAACTAAGATATCTGACCAATACAAAGTTTGGAAAGGCCAGTCGGAGAAAAATTACTCTTACTGAATAACTAATTAGGTTGAAGGGTTGTTTTGAAATAAAACAACCCGCGTGACAAGTATCATTAGTTTAATAAGTGTGACAATTATCAATAATGTACTTTCCTTACAAGTAAATAGTTTAAACAATTGTTTCCTGGTAAGGAAAGAACTATTCAAGAATTATTTCCTTGTAATTTAATATTACCTCAATTAAATTAAGTAAATATTTCCTTTATTTTAATAGTTTTTAATTAATAATATGTGTTACTATTTTAAGTGGATTGTTATCAAATATAAATTTAGGTCAAATTTTGTAAAAGGCAGAGTTTGATTTATTAAAGTCAAATTTAGAGAATTGCCACGATGCCAAATCAAGCAAAGAACCATGATGAAAATCGAAAGTTTGTGTGCTTACTTTGTATGAAAAAATATTTAAGACAGCTTACTAATTTTCAAACAGACCGAATATGCCAACTGAACAAGACCAAGATCAATATCAGTGATACTCGGGTACAAAAAGGATTCTGCGAATTGTGTAGAATTACTTTGCGCAGGAAACAAGAGGGGAAAGAAGTAACACTCCCTTCATTGTTTGATTTTAAGTCAATACAAGTGAGATCTGAAACAAGAGGCACGATGTGTTGTTGCCTAATATCCCGAATTAGTCGTTCAAAGCTGCAAGAAAAACATCCTGTTATAGAGCAAACCACTATTGAGAAAAAACCAAAGGTGCGTTATAGCAAACGCTTCAGCCTTTTAGGAAAAGGTTTGCCCCACCAATGCTCTCAAGTAATGTTTAGGGAAATCATTCAATCTTTAGCAGCAAAAGATGCTAAATCATCCAAACAAATCGCATCTCGAGTTATTTCCAATAAAAAATTATCTCCGGAAGGAACTATTCTACTGGCTAAAGCATCCGGCGGGCCTCCACTTACAGTTACCTCTGGTAAATATTTGTAATTAAATAATTTTAACATATATATTGAAATAAAGTCTTGACTATTAAGAAATAACACTAGATAGATTTCAAGAAGTATATTTTTGACAAGTTTCTAATTTCTTTAAAAACTAATAATTTAAACGTTTTACACAAACTTACTAAACAAAGTTTATTGTAACTATAAAAAATGTGTGTTTTTGTTTAGGTCAAAGTAGTGCGCTGACACCATCAAGTGCTCCGAAATTGACTACTGTAGCCCTTGTAAATGTGCAATTAAATACGGGCCTGTCAAACAACGAATTAAAGAAACTTGTTAGAACTATAAATAAAACATAAAGCAGCAAGATTACAGTTCATGTTGTTGCTCACTGCAATGATTTATCAAGTCTTGTGAATTATGTTATTCAGTCCCGCAAAATTTCTGGTGGCTATTTTGTTAAGCTCGGAATTGACGGTGGCAAAAGTTTTCTCAAGTTTTGCCTAAGCATTGTTGATACTGCGTTAAGGGATGAAACCAGCTCACCGTACCAACAACAACCTCTCACTCAAAGGACTGGTAAAGACACTGGAGTCAAGAGACAAATTATTGTTGGGGTTTCAGAAGATTTGCCAGAAACACACTCCAATATTGAACAAATCTGGTCACTGATTAATAAAAATGGAGTTAAACTAATTTTGGCTTGTGATATAAAAGTTGCAAATATAATTTGTGGTCTTCTAACTCATTCAAGTACGCACCCTTGCACCTGATATGACGTCAAATCCAATTGTCTAACCAAATCTGGAAACTTGCGAACACGGGGCTCAATTAATTCAAGCCTTGAGTCTTTTCAGCAATCTGGCAGGTTTATTGATAATGCAAAGCTGTTTGGAAAAATCATTAGAAAGCCAATCCTCTGCGGGCCTGTCAATGTTCTGATTTTGGAAATCATTCTACCAATGAAATTGCATCTCCTCTTAGGAGTTGACAACCATCTTTTAAAGATCTTTTAAAGATCCTTAAAACTGCTGGGATAGAAGCTGTTAAGTGGCCAGCCGCCCTCCACATTCAACTGAGTCCGTATCACGGGGACCATTTAACGGAAATGAATGCAGGAAGCTTCTTAAAAATGTGAATACGCTGCAGCAACTTGCTGAGACAAACATGGTTCCCAATATTGTGTGCATTATTGAAGCATTCAAAAGCTTCAATTTAGTTGTCAAGGCTTGCTTTGGATACATCCTTCAGCCGGATTTCGGCTGAAGGATGTACCCAAAGAATTTCTACTTTTTTTTTTTGTTTTACTAACTGGTAGTCCTTTGACCAGCTTTTGCACTTTTTTTTAGCTTTTTTTTTTTGGCAGCATTTTATATCTTAGGAAATGTTGGTATATTCAAGCGAAGCATACATGGCCTTCAACGTCGGGGAGGCTAGAGGGTTATGTCCTTCTCTACTTTTTTTTTGCAAGGACTTTTTGTTTTAGAAATGTAGGCAATTATTTTAGAAATTATGGATTTTATTTTAGAAATTGAGGGGTTAACCTCCTCCACTTTGAAGGCCGTGTCGATACTATTAGCATAAGACTGTTTAAATCACGCTTTAAGTAGCAATCACTATTTTGGTCTATAAAATGAAAACTGTACATGTACCGATAAAATAATTATAAAAAATTTGTTGGTATTACATAGTAGAACACTCATGTAACCGTTATTTTAAAAATAGTGACCAAATTTCAAAGTAATCGGTAACGCTTTGAGGTATAAGTAGAGAAAAACTGACAAAATTTCAACTAAAACTGCAATAAAGTCTACACCAGTCATCCAATCAGGCTGAAATTTTGTCCAGAGTTTGGTGTGACTATTGGCTACATTTGCACCAATTTTTAACGAATTACATTGAATGGTTCAAATTCTACAAGTGTTTTAGCGCACTATGAATTAAAAATTTGATTTAATTTAAACATTCAAATCAAATTATTTTCCGCGGACAAAATTAAATGATTTCAAAATTTGCATCACAGGGTACCTTGATATGTACGCTAACTTTCCGTATAAGTTCTTGGGACAGCTAGGTAGATCCGTGCTAACCGTGAATACCTGTAAAAAAATAATTACTTTCAACATGGCGGAAACCAAAATACCAAACATTTTAAATGTCTCACAGAGATATTTTACTTTTAACAAATGACTTGACCTGACTTTGACAAACTTTCAATCGAAACTAATTATTTTAAAGTCAGCGAGACTTCTACTTTTCTTAATTCTTTATCAACTTTTTTTTCGCTGTTAAACCTAAATATCCGGAGTATGAATAAAAACTTTGAAAATTAAAAAAAAAATGTTAGAAAATTTAAACTATAAATTTAGTGTAATAAGTTTAACAGAAACTAGTTTCAAAACGGAGATGATTCAAACTCAAATTTTTATTTATCGGGTTATAAATCAATTCATCAAGCAAGGAAAAAAGGGGATTGGTGGAGGAGTGTGCATTTTTGTTTTAAATTCTTTCATTTTCAAAAAGACAGAAAACCTTAGCATAAATAATGCAGATTGCGAATCGTTAATTTTTTTTATTATAAGATTTTTTAACACGTATGAATTAAGGTCAAATTTCTGACATAATGGACCAAAAATTCAGTTTTTCAAAAATTTACATTCTTAATTTTTTCATCTCAGGACATTAAGCTCATTAAAATGAACATTTGTACAAAATTTCAAGCCAATTGGACAAACACAACTCCTGCAATCTTTGACAGAAGATGCAAAATTATAAAACAGAGAAAGATGCAAATAAAACTTTAAATATTGAATACATAAAAATTATTGACATATAAAAGCAGGTTAAAATCTCCGTTTTTCATATACTTTTCCCTGTATTTTACATTCAGCTCAGGATGTTTCTAATTAAAATAATGTGCATTGTGATCAAATTTAGCTTTGAACTTAAGTAATGTTTCTTGTCATCATGCATGTTTCACATCTGATTAAAATGTTAGCTAAATCAGAATGCAGAGATGTAGTATGTTGAAGCATTTTTAAAATTTTATTGTTTGTATAAATGTTTCAGTTTTTATAGCAGCGATCCACTTCTTACAGAGTTCACCATTAGAAATTATATAAAAAAATTTACAGTAAAGCTTTATTTGAGCAACCGAATGCAGCAGCACCTTGGTTTATAACTATAATAAATTTTTTGATGTAAGCAACCACAATTTTTTATTTTGTAAATTTGCAACCCTTCCCCCATAATGACTGATTTTGACTTCAAAAAAATAGAGGAAGTTAAATATTTTTTTGTTCTTAATATACCATTGTTGAAAACAGCTTTAAAATTTTACTAGGGACTTGACTCGCTGTGACTATTGCTAAGTTACTGCTATCAAATAAAAAAACTTAAGTTTTTTTTTATTAGTGAGCAGTATCACTTTAAAACTGCTACCGCCGGACCTGTGTGCCAATCAATAGAAATAAAAACAACACACAAAAATTTAATCATGTTACGTTGTAAAATATTAAGTGCCTGATGCAAATTAAATTCATACAATATATTTTCAGTTACAATAAAAAACCCCTCAAAAAAATATGCTTAATATAATTTTTTTTAAATATCAGGTTTCACAATAGCAAGTAATAACTTTTTATAATCACCACTGCAATCGCCTTCTATCATCTTGTACAATGTTTTTTGGTACTTGCGCAAGAAAGCTGTTTTTATATCAGCTAGATCAACCTAAATTAACAATATTGTTAGTTAACTTGTATTATTATTTTAAATGTTACGGTATTCAAAATTCAAAATGTTACAGGTATTCAAAATTCAAATGTTACCTCTGATCGCGAAACTATTATTCGAATTAATAAACTATCATTAGTTCCCATTCCCTTCATTGAATGCCACAAACGATCAGCAAAATACTCAGCGGGGTTTCGTGCACATTGTACTAGTTAAATACAAAAATTTTAATAAAAAACTGTAATCAATTATATATATATATAAATACACATGTAAACAAAATACAAAAATTAGATAAAGAAATTAATTAGATCAAGCCCTATTATTGCGTTGCGAAGAAAAAATTCCTCAAAATAGCAATCTTTAAATTGATATAAATACTTCAAATAAATTTCCTAACCAGATTAAAGTCTAAGAACCACGATTTACCTACACTAGAAGGCGGCGGAAACCTTTTTCTTCCACAGTTGTTGGTGATAAAAAAAGGTTTACGCTGCCGAAAGAAATGATAGCATTTTCGTTTTTTTTCGTTGTATTTTGTCAATACTATTGTCAAAATATAATCATAAATTTTAAAATTAGTAAAAAATTCTAATATTAAATTATAAACAGTAAAAATTGTGAAAAATATCAGTTTTATTTACATGGTTGTTTCAATGTTTATGAATAAATTGTTGGCTTTTGTTGTTCAAGAATCAGACAGTGAAAAATTTTGTGTTAATGACTCTCAAATACAAAAAAACAGTTACAAAAAGATTTAAAAAGTCTTTCTTTTGAGGACTTCAGAATATTTTCAATTATTTTTTTTCTAAAGAAATAGAAAAAAACCGCATTTTTTTCTTTTTAACAATTGTAAAATAGTGCAGTATATTCCTTAGGGGTGGGAGTTAAGGTTAGTTTTAGTAGAACTAAAAATACCCAACTAAATTTTTAGTCCAACTAAAATTAGTGGACTAACTTTTTAGTTAACTAAAATTAGTCAACTAACTTTTTAGTTAACAAAAATTAGTCAACTAAAGCAAGATTTAGTGCTTGAAAAAAGAAATAATCTTTCGCATAAAACATACAAGGAAGCTTTATTAAGGCGATTAAATATTATTTTATCATAATTAAACACTTTACTAATTATGAATCCTATAGCCCAGTCGAATTAAACTGTTATTAAAAAAAAAAGTTTAAAGCAAATTTCGATTATTCTTATTTTTCCAAGCTCGGAGATAACTGCCTATAAGGTTGTTGCAACTCTTAATAAATACCCAATCAGTATGGAATGTACAAATAATGCCCTTTAGTCAATTAAATCAAATTTGGTACAATTATTGAACGTTTAACTTATATTTTTTAAGTGCTGCGTCCTATTGGTAGTGTGCAATAATAATCGCACATCAAGAATTATCTCCCCTACCAAAGCCATACTGACAGCGGTGTGGGCACCTTCCCAGGTTTACAATATTCTGTCGGTTTTGCCGGTAATTTGGAAAATTTGGGACGCTGTCAGTTAAAACTAAAATTTGGCTTCTAAAAAAAAAAACAACCCTACTTTGGTGAAATTTTTATTGTAAAAAAGCTTTTTTCATTTGCACCCCCCACGCCGTCGTCGTTCAGTATGGCAAATACAATACGCAATATATAAATATTGTTGTGTCTTCTCTCCTGAATATTATAACCCGCAAACACTACAGTTAGGCAGGGGAAAGTATTGACATAAACCCAAAAGGTAATTGTTAAATAAGTTATTATGATTATATTTATTGCTTTCAGAGTATAGTTGTTCGTCATTCGGCGAGAATTGCAAAATTTAAAAGGAAGCTTGGTATTTGCATTTTCGAATGCAATTTCGGAAATATAAGTTGTTGAATAGTGTATAAAATGTATTAAATAATACTTAACTGTTGAACAATGAAAACATTTTATAAAGTAATTTTGCCTTAAAACCAAAAAATTATTTATGACATTTTAATTACTTGAAAAATACAATACGTAATTTTTAGGCACTTTAAAATACATGTAAAACCGGGTCAAAACAATTATCAATTAAAATGCAATAACTTTTTTATTATATTTATTTTTGTATTTTTTCATTAGATAGATGTTAAATAAAAATACTGAAGAACTTTTTAACTGGAATTATATCACTAACTTTTTTTGTCAAATGAAATTCCGACAAAAATTCTCTAACGCATTAAATTTTTTTTTTCCTCTTGTATTTTTCAAAGAATTGAAAACTTTTATAATTTGGACCCAAAAAAGTGGCACATAATAAAAACGAATTATTGTAATATAATGTAGCTTACAGGGCTGGCACAAGTAGATAAAACGTAGAGAGCGCCATTAAAATTTTAGCTGACTAGAAAAAGAAAAAAAAAACCCTTGTTTTTTTAAATTCACCTAGTGACTGTTCTGAAAATCTACATTTGCCAACTTACTTATCTAAAAGAGTCAAATTAGCTTACTAAATGAGCTAAAAAATCATTGATGGGATGTCACACACAAAACCAACTACCACATCCCCTCACCACTTTGCACTGGCTTTGGTGGCTTATTCAATTCTAAAGATATTAGTGTTTTACCATGTTTAGTTTTTGGATTTTTTATTTTTTTTAAAGTATACCGTTAAACCTTTGGCACTGAAAATTTAAAGAAAATTATTTTGATATTTTTTTATTTTTGCGGTATTATGCGGTAAAATGGTCATGTATTAGCAAACTTATTTAAAAATTCTATAGAAATGATATCATGAACCCAAATTAGTTATATTATATATTTATAAATCTCTTTAGTTGGACTAAAAACAAAGTTGGGTAAATTTAGTTAAGTAAAAAGTTAGTCGGTTAACTTTAGTTAAGTAAAAAGTTAGTCGACTGATTTTAGTTAACTAAAAAGTTAGTCGACTAAAATAAGTTAACTAAAAAGTTAGTCGGGTAATTTTAGTTAACTAAAAAGTTAGTCAACTAATTTTAGTTAACCAAAAAGTTAGTTGACTAATTTTAGTTACGGTTTTTTTAGTTTAGTTAGTTACAATTTTTAGTTTCGTTCACAACACTAATATTCCTTATCTATAGAATTATCAATCAATAATGTGTAATCCACAGCGATCTATACTGCAGGCCTTGCCAACGCACAAACCGCGTATCAGACTGGGGCATTTTTTAAAATTTCGCTCTATTATAGTCGCCATTTTAGTGATATTAAAATATGGGTAAAAAATGCATCATTTTTTACCCATATTTTAAATTCACTACAAATTATTTATCTGCAAAAAAAAAATCTGATAATTTAAAGTTCTTTTCCTAGTTGATTAGTTGATAAGTTGATTTCCTAAAAATGAAGAAAACCAAATGGATTAAAGTAATTGCAAATGCAAACTTAAAAGTAACTAATGACAATTGACTTTGGATATATTAGCAATTAACCATTAGAAAAATTCTTCAAGTAACGTAAAATTGGCCAATGCAACTCACATAGTTTGTGAGTTGCATTGGCCAATAAATTTTGAAAAACAAATAGTTACAGGAAAATATCATCCTAAATTTCACCATCTGTTTGGCCTGGGATCCCATCTTATCAAATTCCCACCCATCTGCATCCATTACGTTTGACAACTTGTGCTTCTTTGTGTTTTCAAAATTTTGCTCTAGATGAACTATCAACTTTTTTAGAAAAAGATAGAGTAACTTTTGCTGCAACTAAAAAAATTATTATAAGCAATAAAAGAGATATAAGTGTTCAATTAGTATGCTTAATGATTAATAACGCTATTAATTTACAATCACAAGTTTATTCAAATGGGATTCAATGTTTTTTAATCAAGATTAGTGAGGATTTGCATTTTAAAACTTATCATAATGGTGCCGAAAATAAAGTTCCTACAATTTCTAAAAACAGAATTTCAAAAATATTAGAAAAAGTTTTACGTTACTTGAAGAATTTGATTCCTGAAAGAAAAGAAATTGTAATTCAGGAACATTTAGCTTCTATGGGTACACAGTGTGTTGGTAGTAAGATTTATTCTAAAGATGTTGTTATTAGATCTTTTCAATATTTTGCTACCTCCAGATGTTTGTATAATCAATTGCCAACAGATTACCAATTGCCTTCTGTAACTTTGACAAGAATAATTTCAAAAGTTTCTAAATTAAATGAGAAGCATTTTTTGACTATGATGAAGTTTATGTTAAAAAAATGTTGTTATACCATGGTGATACATTATTTAGAAAAACAATCGACAACCCAATTTCTCTTGCAAAAACTATATTGGTTCTAATGGTTAATTGCTTATTTGGTGGACCTTCCTTCATTTCTGAAATTAAATTAAACTCTATCCAACCAATAAAGGAGTCTTCGAGTCAAGAAACAAAAACATTAGAAATAACAGACTTACTGAAAAAACTGGTCAACTTATTTTTTTATGATAAAGGAGTATGTAAAGTAGTAAAATGGGATCATCTTGAAAAACTTTATGAACTTGAATTCAAAAATTTAGTTAAATTATCCAACTTAAATGAAGTTTCAATATACCCAAAGTCAATTGAGAGGCAGTCAGCTTCTACCTGTTTAAGTGTATATTGTGACAAAGCTTACCATGCTTTATTTAATCATACAGGACTACAGCATATAAAAAACAAGATACAGTAGATTTTATTAACATTGTTGTATCATGGTGGAAAGTTCTCTATGTTAAGGGAACAAGTGCAGATTTTAGATTCAATGATGAACTTCAAGCAGCAATAAGAGATCCTAATGTTGATTGAAAAGTTGAATATTTCAAGAGCTAAGCTTTTGCTATCACTTGATAACCCAGCTGTTGAGATAAATCTTGATACAACCCGTTCCTGTCCAAATTGTGGTTTTCTATTAGATGAGCCTTCTGCTGAGATATTAAACAATCTACCTGATTTTGAATCTTTTATTTTTCTCTTGATACAAATATAGCTTATATATATATCAGGGTATTTAACTTGTATAGATAAAGAACTATTAGAAATGAATTGCTAGATAAAACCACTTTTTACCTCTAAAAATATGGACAATACATAGGCTAAATTGATCGTAATGGGCTTAATATTCCCACAGATAATACCTGTCAATAGGTAATATTTTCTTTTATAGTTTTCAATGCAATTAAGGATAGAGTACACAGAGTACCATTAAGCAATATTCTAATGATGATTTCAGAGTTCAACTTTAAGATGCAGCGACTTCATGAGCCAACTGTCTAAGCCTGCCTTTCATCACACGATTATTGATTCTTTCAATACATCCTGATTATAAAAATAATTTTTTTGGAAATTAAGGCAAATTTTTCTCCAATATTTTTTTTTAACTTTCTTAAACAATAAGAAAATTATTGGACTATTTAAAAAAATATTCAGTGTTTGATAAAGTTTAAATAATTATAAATAATTTTATTTTGTTTTACACTTCATAGTATTTTTTCAAAACCAAACAATTTGTTTTCTTGGTATATCAGCCTGCTTTTTAGTCCTTCATATCATGCAATTAAATTTTTCTGAAGTAATAAAAACAAGCGCATTTTTTCTAAATCTCAAGAAGATTTATTAGTTTTGTATCTTAAAACTGTATCTAAAATGTGACACAGTTTAACAAAAAAACAAGGGAAATAGCTTTTCAGTACGCAGAGGCGAACAATATCTGTCCTAAAACATGGAAGGATAAAATAGCATCTGTGGAATGGCTTTGTGGCTGTATAACAAGGCACAAAAATTTATTAGTCAGAAAATTTAAGACCACTTCTCTGTCCAGAGAAGTGGTCTTAAAGTTCCAACAAGACAAATGTTAACACATTCTTTGAAAAGCTAACCAGTATTTACAAAAAGTATAGATTTCCATCACACATGATTTTCAATACAAATGAAACAGAATGCAGTACCGTTTCAGCTCCTCCAAAGATTATAGCTGAAAAAGAGCTTAAAACAAATAGGACAAATTATATCAGCAGAACGAGGTACGCTTGTGACTAACCTTTTTTAAAATAATGCTGGAGGTGGTAACTATACTTCCTGTGGTAATTTTTCCTTAAGTAAATTATTAGGATCACATGCTAAATCAAACATTCTGGAGCATTGGGTTTAGCTCATGTTTAAGGATGGATGATTGAAAATAATTTTGTGTAGGCAACGGAACATTTTGTAAGCAATGCAAAACCAAGTGATGAAAATCCTGCCCTATTAATATTAGAAGATCATACCTCCCATGTTAATCTTTGTGTGATAGAATTTGCCAAACAACATTTTGCAAAAATTTTAACTTTTCCATCACATAGCAACTATAGGTTAGAGCCTTACAGTGTATGGGCCATTTAAAACAAGATACAGAATAGCGATGAATGAATGGATGCTCTCAAATCCTGGAAACAAAAGGTCAACATTTATCAGGTTGCGCAGTTTGCTAGAAATGCTTATTTAATGACTTTTAGCATGACAAATGGATTTATTAAGACCGACAATTACCCTTTAATTTCCAAAATATTTTTTGATGATAAATTTCTTACATCATATGAGACTAATAGACCTGAGCCAGTTCTTTTAGATAATGCTACTCCACAAAACTTAAGACTCTCAACACCAGAACTCAGAAATTCCTGTGTTAATACTTCAGATACTCCTGGAAACTCAAATATTAAACCCACAAAAACAGATAGTTTGGCTAAAAACATCACACTGTCAGAATTATTAATACAGCCATCAATATCACAGCAACAAATCGTTAGCCCAGATAATGTAAGACCTTTTTTAAAATCAGAACCTAAAAATTATCACAGCAGTTATCACAGATACTCAAAAAAATCAAAGAGAAAGAAACAAAAAAACAACCTAAAAAAAGTGTTATTTAGAAGATTAAAAAAAAAAAAAAAAACACAAAAAACATACAACTTCATTGATACCAGTGGTACCATTACACGATGATGCAAGCTCAGATGATGAAATACATTTATCATAATTAAAAAAACAAAATATTTGTAAAGAGGGCAATAAAATCATTGTAATGTAATGGACAATATGGTAAGACCAATAAAGAATGGTACCAGAGCAAGGTATGTGAAAGGTGGACACATGAATCTTGTGGCTTCAAAGGTGCGATTAATTTCTTTTGGCAAAAATGTTTCTGATCCTTTTTTTTAGTTTTTGACATTTGACAATTGTTTGGCAAATTTATATGAGGATATTATTGTTAATTATGTAAAACTATTATTAAAGCTGTGGTTATCATTGAATTATAAAACTTTTAGTACAATCTGATTTGTAGAAGTCTAATTAACAGATTATTATTTTTAAAAGACTTGAAAATTTTTGAAAAAAAGTTACAGGCCATAAAAAAACAAAAAACAAAGTGGCTCTTTCATTGACACGATGTTATGAAAGAGCTGTTTTCTTTTTTTTTTAAATAGGTGTATGACAGATTATTAGCATTGTTATTAAACTTATTTTAATTTTATAAATTTACCCACTAATTATTAAAAAAATAAATAAAAAACTATTACAAAAAATTTATTCAAAATTGATTTTTTTTATACTTTTTAAAACTGGCTCTTTTGTATATACTCTCCTCTACTATAGAGCTATATTTATTTTATGTCACGCATGTAAAAAGAGTTAATGTAAACTTAATTTCATTTCATTTTAAACACTTAGTCCTAAAAATATCTTTAAAATGCCCAAAATTCTTCTTCTTTTCAATTGTAATAGTAGGGGGAGGGGGTCCAAAATTCTTCATTTCTTGTTTAACCAGTTATTCAGTTTTTGCTAATTTTTTATGGTTGACCTTCTATTTCTATTTTAAAAATTTAAAAATATAAAAAATAAAAGTCTTTGCAACTTTTTCTATTCAAATTTTGATTGGATAAATTTGATTTTTAATCGTTGTGTTTTAGAAAAAAAAAGTTTTATCTCAAGTCTTTTTCTAAGAAAACGTTTTAAATAAGTAAAACGACAGATTTTTTCAAAAAAAAAGTTTTATCTGAAGTCTCTTTCTAAACAAAACGTTTTAAGTAATCAAAAAAACAGATTGCTTCAAAATATCTTAATTTCCTTTTTTTTTATTTATTTTTAATCGTTATTCAAGCTATCAAGAAGGCTATTCAAGAATTCTTTTTTTTTTTTTTTTTTTTTCACTTTATTTTAATGAAGTCAAGAATAAATCTTCTTTTAAAGTTCCAGTCAGTAGAAGTTCGGATAGAAGATAAAGGAATACCGCTACCTAAAAGACTTTATAAAAAACAAATTGGGTGATCAAAATTTGAAATTTTCTGCTGTACTCTAAAACACAGTGAATAGCTAGTTAAAAAAAATTCTAGAAGCAGTTAATAAGTATACCTCAAAGAGGTTGAGTGATTGTACCATTCTTGGTAGAGTATTTTGGCAAAAGTTCGCCTCAGGACTTCAAAAAAGAGAAATGTGTTATGTGTTTGATTAGTATTAACTTTCTAATTAAGTTGTTGCAGTTGGAAAGCTTTGGAAAAAACCATTTAATTTCAACCGTAGATGTATACTTAATTATTTAAACCATATAAAAAATGAAGGTTCGCGCAGTTTAAAAATATTTTGGAAAACTATTGTCCAATTATTTGTCCAAAAAGTTGAAACTATGGAATATAGTTGAAACCAGCTACAAAAACAAATGGATAACAATGAAAGAGCAGCAAACTTTACATCAGGTGTGCAAGATGAGTTCTATTTTAGCTTGATTAAAGTTACATAGCTGCCCATTTAGCTGTGAACTAGACATTATTGAAGTAATAAAGATATGTTAAAATGAAAAAAAAGTTCAAAAAATGAAGTTCTTTTAGGGATACAATATAGGTCATTGTCGCGGAGGTCTATTCTGTTTAAATATGCAAGTGTTGATATAAAAATATAAACCTCCATCTTATGTCTACCAAAGAACATAGATGTTCTTTGGTAGACATAGATGTTCTCATAACCTAGATGTTCTATAAGGAAAGTTCACGCAGCAATCTCTATCACATATGATGACTTTTATATTTTCCATTTTCAATAGTAAATAACAAACTGTATGAATTATTTTCATATATAATGCTTAATTTTTTTTGTTACTTATAAATGATAAGGTATATTATTGATAAATTAAACAGAAAAAGATTTCTAGTTTTCTACTTTTCTTATATTTAATGATAATAATAATTTCATCTATTTTTAACAATGCCTTTTTTTGTCAATATATTTACTTTTATTAAAATCGAAGTAGAAGGCTAAATAATTGAAATGAAAAAAAATGATTATGATTTTCAGAATCAGCATGAAAAACTAATTAAGAAAAATTGGTTAAACTATAAAAAATCTAAAAAAAGACGATTATGGACCCCCCCCCCCCTTACTAATAGATCATGTATTCCACAGATTAAATGTAAAAAATCTAATAAAGTATACTTATGCATTTGAAACCATCTTTAAGATCACCAGACATTTCACGATCAATAGTATTCAAAATATCCCGTTGAGAAATCTGTAAATATAAAAAAGTATTGAGTAAATTGAATTTGATAATGAAAATCAAACTATACTAAGTTAAACTATAATTCTGCTAAAGGTGGTTCCTGTATAGTTAAAACAAAAAATGTTATTCATTAAGCTTAAATTTACTTAAGGAAATCTACAAAATATGCTATAGCATATTTATGTAACAAATTGTTACCATATTTTTGTTACATTAGTCAAATATGCCTTTACAGAAAAAGAAAAAAAACGAAGAATAATGAAAGAAAAGATTGCTGCCCTATCCCAAACCCTCTGTCGATGTAGCAGCACTCCGCTGCGAGTCAGGCAATTTGTCAGTCAATTTATGTACTGAAGCCCCCGGCAACAGGCTATTTCAGTATGATATCAGACTGCTCACCTAAACAAGCTGTATCAGATAAATAAGTAGTAGCAAAAAACCTCTAAAAAATTGGGTTTACTAAAAACACTATTTCTCTTAGGCAAAAAGTTGAGGGTGTTCTTGTAAAATTGATGCTACACCCAAAATTCAGTGGAATCGATCAATGTCTGCCACAATATTGCCTTTTTTATGCAGCTCACATTGCATAAAATTATTCATTAAATGAAGTTGTGACATGTTTGCTGGATTCATATTTTTGGAAATAAAACCAAGGCCACTTTGTTGATACCATTTGATTACATTTCTTAAGTAATGACTTTACTAAGAAAGCAAACAGCAGTCTAACAATAGTATCAAATAAATATGCATATGCTAACATTCAAATTTTAAACATTTGGTCCCATTTGTCTTGTGTTTTCAACATTTGGAAATTTTAATAGCAAAAAAATAAATTTTCTTGAAAAATGATGAAAGAGCCAAGATAAGAAAAAGAATTAGAAAAGAAAACGAAATAGAAAAATGTTGAGCAAAAAAATACTCAGCTAATTTCACAAATATCTCAGTTCATTCTCATCTCAGTTATTATGAGTTAAAAAATAAACATTTTTAATGGTTTGATAAAAATATTCTTGCCTTTATAAAAACTCAAATACTTAAAAACAAAAATTATCTTTAAATTTGAGAAAATAATATAAATCTTTTTAAACAAGAATAATTTAAATATATTCCATTTTGCGTGAGCATTTTTAATTCTAGTTCAATATCTTCCTGATAATGTCGATTTGTTCAACATTTAATTGCTTAATTTTCTGCATTTTTTAACAAAACAGTCTTTTTTTCTTATTGCAACTTCTTTTCTTTTTCATTTTAATGAATCTTTGTAGTGTGAATGAGACATGTTGACACTTTTGATCAATATTTTCAATATTTTCACATTGCAAACATTTCACATTGCATCACTTCACCACTGTGGTGAATTCCATCATATACTTGTCTTTAGGCAACCACAGACAAGTATTTAATACATGATATAAAATCCAATTTCAATATGTGCATGTCACATGGTGACAAAGTAAAAACAATTTTAGATATTTCAAATAAATCATTAAAATCTCGGCTTATAAACAGGATTAAAATAACATCCTATCCTTATAAACATTATAATTTGTAAATTCCAACCTATGGATGCCTTTTGCAAGATCACATAAATCTTGATACTGATTATTGACCTTGTCAGCTATTGATAACCGACACTTGTGGGCGATTAAGTCTATTTTCATTAGCTTTATAACAGATTTAACTCCTTCAAATACATCTTTTTTTATAAAGTTCTACATGTGAGATTTTATTAGCTTTTTTAAATTCTTGGTATAAGAATGGTGCTAATTGAGAATATCAAAAAAATTCCAATTACATTTGGTCTATTTACAGAAATTTGTAAAATATTGGCTTGAAGATTTTCACTTTTGTAAAACCTTTGTACAAATCATTGGCAGACCAAAAAACACTTATGAAAAGTATCTTAGAGAGTATCTTTTTGAACAACTTCTTTTAAAGATTCATCAAAACATACAACTATGTGTGTAGAACTAAACACCGCCTTACTAAATGTAATTAAAACTAGATCATGGAAATATAGGGCAAGAATTTTTCCCAAAAGTCGTTTTTAAACTATAAAACTGTCAGGAAACACAGAATGAAACAGTTGTCCTATTTTTGAATGTGATCTGTAAGAGAAATGCTGCTGTGTAGCATATAGTGCATAAATTAGTGCTGTGTAGCATAAATTATTTCAGAACGCGAGAACATCAATCTGAGTTGTAAATAAAAAGAAAGGTTTGTTCTGCTGTTTCTACTGTTCTGCTTAATTTGTTAAAACAATTGGCATTGAGAAGATTCAGCTACACAAAAAAGTTAATGGCAATTATTCAGAAGCATTTAAAGTTGATGATAATGAAACAGTTGCTTGTGATTGTATTTTTCTGTAACTTATTAGTAATAAAATAATCAAATACCATTTGGTTTTTATAAAGATATCTTTTTTAAATGCTTTGCACTTTATTAATGACTTTTAACTGCCATTATACCCATTTTACTAGGGAAAATGTCTTTCCGCATACACTACACATACCCTTTAATTTACAATCAGCTCTAAGCCAACACCAAGATGATGACATTCAAGATTGATCCAATCATTATCAAAGTAAGCTATTTGAAACATTTTTACTATTTCTTTATTATTTATCTGGAAAAAATTAACATTCCATTAACATAGTTAAACAATATCATGTTTAAATATATTTACATATTTCAAAGATATGTAACAAAATTTAGGTAATAATAGCAATCATATTTATGTTTCCATACGATTTTATAAATATATGTCAAAATAAATATAAATTTTTCGTTTCACTGATACTTCTGTGGGGGTTTGTAATAGAATATTTAAAAAAAATTTTGAATAAAAGAATTTTCCCCCTGACTTAAAAAAAAATAAAAAAAAAATTAAAACCCCTGACTTTTCCCTGATTTCCTTGACTAGAAAATATTTCCCTGACTTTTCCCTGATTTCCAGTTGGCTGGCTACCCAGTCTTTTAGATATTCTCACATTGGCACTTTTACACTTGGGGTATTTTTAAACCTATAAATTCAAATTCTCTGTTTTTCCAGTTATCTAGTTAAATTTTTCTTTAAGTTCTGAATGTTATATTTTCAATACTTACATTTTTTTAAATTTACATTACACATCAGCACTCTTTATTGATGACTTTGTTACTTTGAAGGTTTCCAAAATATAATCTTTATTGTTTTAAGATATTCTTTTTGTTAGCACTTTTCAACATCGCAACAATAACTAAATACTTGACAACTTGAACATATAAGTCAAAATTAGAAAAACAAATGTGATAAATTTCTTTAAAAGGATTGTCTTCAAACGTCTTCAAAAGGATTTTAGGGTAATAACAAAAATAAGAACATGGTTGCTAAGGTTGCAAAATATTTTTAAAACCATTTTAAACAGAAACCAACTTTTTATAGATATAGGTTACCAATTACCAACAGTTTATACATTTAGGGCTTAGAGTAGATACAATTTAAAAAATAAAAAAATTAACCTTGACATATTCATCAAAAGTAGCTTTTAATTGATTAAAATTTCTAGATGCCAAAATCACATTAAAACGTGATTCATCTGTTCCCCATTTTTTTTCACCAGCCTTAAAAAAACATGTAAATTTTAATACAAAAAGATACAAAAAATACAACAAAATATAGTCAATTATTTTTATACTTGATAAAGCTCAGCTGCCTCCTTTTTTGCTTTCTCTAAATCAACAACTCCTGTTTCATCTCGATTACCCTAAATTAAGATATACATGGCATTACACATACATATAAAAAAATGACACACATAGATTGATAATAGATGCATAGACCACAAACAACTTTTAAAAAAGAACAAGTTGACAACAACTTGATTGAAACCAGAAAAATACTATATCAGCCCATGGGAATAAGAAAAATAATGTCAACAAAAAAGTGCTGACCAAAACTTTTTTTGTTCAAAATTTAAGTATAAAGTTTGTTTTTCTGTTTTTATCTTATTTTATTTAAAACTTAAAATGTTTATTTTACTGTTTTATTTTAATTATGTTGTTTAAAATCCAAGCTAGCTTTTGTTTTGCTATTTTTAATTAATTTGAAATATCATATAAAAGTAAGTTTTTAAACTCTGAATTTGACAAAAGAAATTCTGACCTCAGACCTCATTGGCAGTAAGGCCAGCATTGCCAAGTGCTGACCCTAATTCTGAGGACTGCAAAATTATATGCTTTTGAAAATGCATAAAAAACCAACTACAAAGAACAACTAATTTTTTAGAGAACAAAAAGTAAATTTACAAAATTAAGTCAAAAAATAAACGAGACAATAAATAAGGAGAACAGTGAAAAAGGAAAAACAATAAATATGTATTAACCTGACACATAGAGACTAGCAACCTCTTGAAATGTCCGCTTGTTTCACTTACACAATCTTTTTCTAAATCACGTTTGAAATCTAAATAAAGAAAATAAATAAAATAACTTATTTAGGGTTATGCTTTATAACTGTTTTTAATAAATTTCTTTAAAAATTTGTATTTTTTACTAAATTTATTTTAAAAAGAAATTAGAAGCAACTAATTCAAACATAAATCGTTGAAGCTTGCATACTAAGTTTTTGCTGTTATAAATTTAAGACAAAAAAAAAAAACAAGCTAAATTGTGTAAAAATAATTCCAAAATATTTGTATAATAAGTGGCCAAATAATTAGTTACATGCAAAAAAAAAAAAATTTAAATCAATTTGAAGTTGCATATTATTTTAAAGAAACAATACTTTTGATTATACTTTACCTGGATCCTGGAAATATCCTAGGCTAGATGTTGAAGTTTAAAATATTACTTTAAATCTTTTACAATAATATTTTAATTTTATGAACTTTTTAAAAATTTTTATTGTAACATGGAACTTTTTTTTATCCTTTTATCCTTTTACACAGAAACTATAAAAAACAGTTTATAAAGACCGAAACACTTCTTTAATAAAATATATACACTTAAGACTTGCAGTGTTGTACTAAGAACTAATACAAGCACTGTTATGTCCTCAGTAATTATGCTTTTCATTTACCGAACAACTGCAAAAGTCTTTTTTCTTTTCTTTTTCTACATTATCACTGTAATTCACTTTCAATTATGAAACATTTAAGAATAAAAATGCCTCCTAGAAACACCAGATTGATTACAAAAAGTGTTTCTTATAATAAAAAAACACATACATTATAATAAAAAAGCACATATAGAATTGCTTGTGATCACTGAAGATTTTTATTTTAAAAGCTTCCCAAATATTTTTACGACGGAAGTCTGGAAGAATGCTTGACTATTAGGAAATTTAAAAAATATTTAATTCATCACAATGAATTGTGTTGTTGTCAATGCACATACAACAAAAAAATAAACTGATATGCACATTAAAAAGTGCATAATGATAAACAACTAGTAAAATTGTTACATTGGCCATTACATTATAATGTAGTTACAAAAAATAACTTCATGGGGTATGTACAAAAAATTAAATTTAAAAAAGTATATACTTACAATTGGAGTATTCCTGCTTTATTTCTTTGATTTGCTAAATTTTGAATGAGTATTGAGATAATATAGAATGAACTGGTAAGATATTCAATACATCTATATTTTTTATTAACTATTAAAAGGTATGAATGTATCAAGAAAAATGCATTTATCAAATTCACTTAGGTAAACATTTCAATAAAAAGTATTGCTACTAATAACAATGATTACTTGATAAGGAACATCAAAACTACATAAGAAAAGTCAAATCACTTTAAGAATCCTAGAATCTTTCATATTAAAACCTTTTTCAGTTCCTTTTGGGACTTCCCTCCACTGCTTTACAATACAGAAAAAATCTAGACCAAATTTAGAGTTTACAGTTTTGGTTTTTTCCAACCAAAAAAACCCTATAAACTCTAAAAGTAAACAAGTTATTTTTATAACTTGTAGATAATCTCTCAAATTAAAATAGATCTTTTTATTCTGCAAGTGTTTAAAATAAAACTTTTAGGGTTCGTCATAACTAATTTTGAATAGGGAAAAAAAAATTCTCACTCAACTATGTTGTATTACAATGACTACAAATACACTAAAAAATAATTAAAAACAAAGGCTTTATAAATTATATTGAACTGTGTATCTCAGTAGTTAATATCAAATATAGCTTCAAGCATAACAACTTTTTAGTTATCATTTTTTATAAAAGAACAACTTAAATTAAAAACATCCTGTCCCCACCTGCTATTTATTAGCATTTTAAAACTTTTATTACTATACTAGCAGTAAGCAACCCGTAATACGCGTTGTTAGTAAATAAAATTAAAAAAAAAACCCGCGTATAGAAAAGCCTAGAAACTACTTTAAAATAGAAAAGCCTAGAAAATGACGTAACTCGACTAATATTAATAATATATAAATAGCGTATTCATATAAACAACCAGCTGAACTTATTTATCTTGATTTTGCTAAGGCATTTGACACGGTACCTCATAGATATTTATTTTTAAAATTGGAGGTGTATGGTGTAAGCAGGAAACTTTTAGATTGGATAAAAATTTTTATAAGTAACAGACGTCAACGAGTTAAATAAGGTGATTTTTCTCAAAACTTTATGCTGATGATACAAAGATTTTATCAACAGTTGCAAAATAATTTTAAAACTTTTATTTCTTATTATTACATCTAAAGCAAATACTTATATATATAAAAGAAAAATAAAGTAAATACTTATATATATAAAAGAAAAATAAAGTAAATACTTGTATATATTAAAGAAAAATATTAAGATGAGATATTTTATTATTAAGCAGAATAAATTTTTCCTCAAAAAACTCTTATTGGTTCAAATAAAATAAAAAAAAACTAATTAACTAATTAGGTCTCATTTTATTTTATTAAAACTTACGAGTTAATAATATTGAGTTATTTAATATTGATTAATAATATTAGGTCATTAGTTAATAATAACTAATAAAAAATATGTTAAATTATTCTTGTTATCTCTTAGTATTTTTTTAAAGCTTAAGCGATTGTCACTTAATGCTAGTAAATACACTTAATATAAGTAATAATATTTAATATAAATAATAAATAAGTTATAAATGTATGTAATTCTTAAAAATAAAATTAAAAAAAAACTAAAAATACAGTAAAACTATAATAAATTATAAAAACATATATTGAACTTAAAATAGAAAGTAAAAGGTTGTAAAAAATGGAAAAATAAATTTTAGAAATATATAAAATAAAAATGAAATAGGAAAATCAAACAGATAATAGATAGATAACAGAAGTTATTATTATATATATATTTGTAAGCATTCAGAATAAAAAACTCACTGAATTGGTTCTAGAACATAAAATATCAATCAGTGTTGACTCATCTGTACCGGCACCCTATTATTGAAGAAATTATAAAGCTTAATAAAAAAGTTGATTGATTATAAAAAAATCATTAATCAAATGTATTAAAAAACATAAATACTTACAGCCATTGCTTTTCTTAAACATTTAGCATCATAAAGAACAGTAGGTTCCAAAAGAGCTAAAAGAGTCTCCTCTAAATTTCCACTTAGTTCTGACTTTAAATCATTCATTAAATCCTAGAAAAAAAGGGTTTAAAAAATAGATTTGGTCATTTGAAACATATAATGCAAAACAAATTACCAAAATTCTAAACTCAATAAATCTACTATCACACTAAAAGAAAACCTTTCCAAACATGGTTTTATATCTTAGTCTAATTTCAACTCTTTGACGATTACAAGGAGCAACTAGTATGTTAATCAAAGCATCTTCATCAGTTCCTTAAATTAAAGATATTTTAGATATAAAAGTTGACATAACAATTATAAACAAATAAAAAGTTAGGAACTGACTAAATATCATGCCTTATAAGTAGTGACAATGAAAAAAATATAACAATGAAAGGATTTTTATTTGTATATTGCATATTATATAAACTATGGAACCAATAAGCTTTATGAATGTTATACAACTCATATTATCAATTTAAATTCACTCAAAAAATTAATTTTCTTACCAACACCTCTCATTGCTTTTCTTAAAAGTTCACAATCAGTCTCTGCATCAAATGGAGATTTAGGAAAAATAGTACCTCTTGTAGGTGCCTAAAAAATATATTTAAAAAAATTGTTTTACAAAATGTTTGTAACTTAAACAAAATGATATAAAAAAATGTTTTTAAGCTTTAAGTGTTTTACAAATTCTGACAAACTTTAAAAAGTTATTACACTTAAATGCAAGATTTTTTAGTTAACAAATATAAAATATTCTCTACAAAGCACAAAAATATAGATTCAAAACAAACATACACTTATAGCCATATTTGACATCTGAGAATAAGGAGGCTAAAAAATAATAGTTCTGGTAATTTTCAAAATTTAACACAAAAATAAGTAAAATTCTTTGCTTAAAAATAAAACATTTTAAACAAAGTACTTTTTTACAACATTTCTCAATTTTATTTTCTAAATAATTCTTTTTTTAATATTACAAATGTTTAAACTGCATTTACCTGAGCTGCCGGAGTTCCAGATGGTAGAGGGTTAGTTGGGGGAGCAACTTGAGCTTGCTGAGGAGGCTGTTGAACTTGAGGCGGTTGTTGCCCACATGGAGGTTGCTGAACCTGAGGAGCTGGTTGCCCATATGGAGGCTGTTGACCTTGAGGTGGTTGTTGGCCATATGGAGGTTGCTGACCTTGAGGTGGTTGTTGCCCATATGTTGGCTGCTGACCAGGTGGCTGTTGCCCATATGGTGGTTGGCCTTGAGGTGGTTGCTGACCATATGGTGGTTGTTGGCCTTGAACTGGTTGCTGACCATATGGTGGTTGTTGGCTTTGAGGTGGTTGCTGACCATAAACTGGTTGTTGGCCTTGAGGTGGTTGCTGACCATATGCTGGTTGTTGACTTTGTACTGGTTGTTGCCCATATGGGAGTTGTTGACCATATGCTGGTTGTTGTCCATATGCTGGTTGTTGTCCATAGGTTTGTGGAGGTGGGACATATTGCTGACCAGGTGGACCATAAGAATGAGGTGGAGCAAAACCAGAGTAGTTTTGTTGAGCATATGGTTGTTGATGATGATGGTGAAAGTCTCCTTGAGGTGTCATTGGAGAAAATCCAGGTTGTAGAGGTGGTTGATCATATCCTTAATGAAAATTGTAAAATACAAAAAAAAAAAAAGAACAAGATAACACTGTAGAATTGCCTATTTTGAAAAGCCCCTAACTCTGAATTTCTTATTTTCATCTTTTCTAATTTTGTTAAAATTTTTAAAAGTAAGCTGTTTAATAAATTGAAATAAAGACTAATGAGAATATAAAAAAATTTAAAATATATATATCGTAAAGTTTTTAAAAAACTTTATATTATATTGAAGGTATTAAATTTAAAATGATATTTCATATATTAAAATGTATATATAAGCCATCAACAATAAGTGTCATCTTTAGAAGATGCATACTATAACATTTCTAATGCAACTTTTTTGCAGATTAAAAGAAATAAATGGAGGTAAAAAAAATAAATTTAAATATAAAATATAAATTTAAATAAAAATTTCTGCAGCCATATAAGAAAACGGCATCCCAAAATAACAACTGGATACCTCACTGAAAATAAATTTAAAGTATGAAAGAATCTAATTAAACCTATTTATTCCAGGTTGATAAACCAATAATATTAGAAGTTTCTGATTTGATTAAATGTGACCATTCACTAAGGTTGCTACCTGCCTAACTAGCTAGCAGAACTGAGATTTTCTTGTTTCTTTTTATAGCACTTTTGTTTATAGCAGCAATAAGTTAAATAGCAAGATTCAAGTTTACAAATAGTTCAAATAGCAAAATAAATAAAATAGTAAAATAAAATATAATTTTTTCATTAAACTACAAGTCTGTAATGTAATTTAATCTAAAATAATTTAATTTAAATATTATGTTATTAATTTAAATTTAAATATTAGGTTATTTAAATATTAGGTTAAATGCTAATGCTTTAGGTTTGATAATATACACTCAGAATTGAAAACATATGTACTTTATTCCAAACTAAAACATTTTTTTAAAATCAAAATATAACAACCTTTTCATTATTTGTTGCCTGAAATTGTTCAATTTAGTTTAAGTTCCAGTTTACTTATATATATATATATATATATATATATAAAATTGAATTTCAAAAGAAGAGCAGAGTTATTGGTCCTGCATATTTTGTTAGGAATTATCTATAGTATATAAGTAGAAAAAAAAAAACTACAGTATATCTGTAAAAAATAAAAACAACCTACGGTATATCTATAAAAAATGAAAAAAATGAAAAAAAAAAATACTTGAAAACTAAAAAGCACAAATAAATAGTTGCTAATCCACTAGTTTGTAGACCAAGATAACAATCAACAGATGACTTAGAAGATTTTAAATTATATGAATCAGGAAAGCAAGATGATGGGAGCGAATTCCAAACTGGTGTTCGAGGAAAAAAACTAGATGAATAAGAGTTTTTGGAGCACTTAGGAACAGTGACAGAAAAAAGATGAGACTTAATTGAATGACAAGTAACACGAGAATGAATTTTAGTAAATGGCAAAAGAGACACTAACTAGAGCAGTGCTCATTATAGTATCTAGAGCAGTGCTCATTATAATATTTGCAGAAAAGAGAAAGAGAAGCAACATTACAATGATGTGATAATGGTTGGAGGTTAGCTGCAAGAGTAGGTTTAACTATGTTTACAATTAGTGATTTCGCCGGTTATCCGGTTTTGCCGTTAATCGGATTTTGTTCAAATATCAAATATCTATCTTCGAATAATAAAAACCGACTTAAAAATGTTACAAAATTTTATAGAAAGTAACATCGTAATTATGACGATTATTGTTTGAAAAATGTTAATTTATCAAAGATTATAATATATTTCTTTTATTAATTTAAATGTTAATTTAATCAGTTTTGTTTGATAATATATTCTTAAAACAATTTACAATAGATATCTAAAAGAGTTATTTATTACTTTTACAACTCAAACAATACATTTTGAAGAAAGTTTCTTCAGAATATTCTGGAACTCTAATTTGCTTATTCAGCGTATTTTTTGAACTAATAGAATTTATTCGTATATTTGGCGGTATTTTAGTGTTAGCAAATATTCTTTATATTATCTTAACGCAACATGTTGTTTTGAGAACATTTAAGTTTATCTATGTTTCCATCTATGTCCGCATAAAAATAAGTTTTTAAAATACATGCTAAAAAAAAATTCCTTCATAACATCTCATTTTTCCAAATCAAATGTTTTTATACGAAAGAATGATTTTAAAATATCCGCTGATATTAAAACATTTAAACTGTACTTGTACATTATTCCTACCTTTTTTAATTATATAATTAAAAAGGTATATTATATTATAATATATAATATATATATATATATCTTTTTCCATGTTTTGTTATAAATATATAATATAGGACTGTATTCACTAACTGTCTTGAAAATGTACACTTTAACATTGATTTTTAAAAAATTAGTTTAAACCGCTACGCTTGTTGAAATTTAGAAGATCCTGTATTCAAAAAACGTCACTAATTAACCGAATAGTCGGTTAACTGCAAATTGATGAGAACTGTTATCCAGTTTTTGAAACGGATAACCGGCGAAATCACTATTTACAATACATTTTTGCACCTTGTCTAAAAGAGAAAGGGCATCATTAGAAGATCTGCCCCAGATATGGCAACAGTATTCCATACAAGGCTGGATTTAAGATTTATAGAGATAGAGAAAAGAATCCGGAATAAAAAAGTGTTAAGCTCGATAAAGAGATGCAACCTTAGCAGGTGCTAGTTTTGCAATAGATTTGATATAAGGTTTCAAAGAAAGATCGGCAAGTAAGAGTTAATCCTAGAAGATAAAGGGTAAATGATTCATCTAGTACATTACCATTTATAAATTATTGCGATAACGATTGGCTGAAAAAAATTGAGTTTTATCTGAATAAAAGTTCACCAGTCACTGTGAGCCCCATGCTGTAGCAGAAGTGAGATCCTTTTCAAACTCAGATGCTCCCTCCAAGCAATCAGAGAGTGTTGGCTTCTTATCATGACAAGAATAAATGGTAGTGTCATCAGCAAACAATGCCAACTTAGTTGTGAGAATATCTGGAAGATCGATAATGTAAATTAAAAAAAAAATATAGGGCCAAGGACTTTGAGGAACCCCTGAATTTACAGGATATGAAGAGGAGTGCTGTCCATCGAGGACAACTTTTATACTTTGATTAAAAAGGAAGGACTAAATAATCTTAATGATGTTACCAGATCCACCACAAGAAGAAAACTTATGAAGAAGACCAGCATGCTAAACTTTATCAAAAGCTTTAGAAATGTCAAGAGCAATAGCCTTAACCTTTCCACCTCTATCTAATGCACAATAAAATCTATTGGTTATTACTGTTAGCAAATTAGCTGGAGAATGAGAAGATCGAAATCCATATTGATGATCAGAAAGTAAGTTATTAGATTCAAGATGAGAGATTAAGTCTTTGTTAATTAAAGATTCAAAAACCTTTATGATAAGAAGAAGACTAATGGGACGGTAGTTAGACAAGTCAAATAGCTCTTCAGAACTTTTGAAAATAGGGATAACAGATGCTACATTCCAGCAGGCTGGAAAACAAGACTCTGATTAACACTTGTTAAATAGTTTTGAGAATATGGATGACAGCTCCAGACAACACTTCTGCAAGACTACAACAGGCATATTGTCTGGACCACAAGTCCAGACAGCATGCCTGTTATAGAAGAGTCTAAGTAGGAAATCACTTTTCATAAAGAAGCTGGAGTGATACAAATGTCAAGCAATAGATCAACCTGTTTGATGGCTATACCAGGTAGAACGCAACTAGTGGAATCAAGAGATGATATTGATGAAAAGTTCTTAGCAAACAATTCAGCTTTGTCTTTAGGTCAGGTGATAAAGTCTGAACCATACAAGAGAGGTGGAGTAATAGATTTCCCCTTATTATTGATGTTGTTAAAGATTTTCCAGAAGTCATGAGTCTAATTTTTGTGATGAAATACGAGATTTTATGACCTGTGAATAGTGGGCTTTGGCAATAGACAAAACCTTTTTATTATATTGATATTGGCTGATGGATAAAGCGAGAGGGCCTGGTCAATTTGATCAGAAATAACATCAAAAAAAGTACAGTCTTGAGATGAAGGAGAGCAATATAGAACAAAGAGAAAGGTGATAAAGTGGTGCTAAACAAAAGCACATAAAAGAGTAGTCTGTGGATTCAAACCTAGTTTTGTGACAAATGGGTGAATTCTTACGAATGTAAATGCCCAGGCCAAGCATGTGACTGTTGGAGTCTTTATGAATTAAAGGAAGATAACCATCGGCATTAAGATCACAAGATGAGACAACTGAACTCAAATTAGTCTCACAAAGAGCAAGTAGGTCTGGTGAAATTTGCAAGAGATAAGACTCAACAGAAGAAAAATTACTTCGAAGACCACGAATATTAGTGACGATGGCTTTTTGTGTTTTATAGTTTTTGGTACTTTAGTCATTTTAAATTTTTTAAAGAACTAAACTCAAAGCATAGATAGTACTCAGTACACTATTTAATTCTCCAAACAATTGCCTCATTACTATTAATAAACCCTAAGCTGTAACAAAGGGCTCCAAATGTGTGGCACTGTTAGCACTCTGATATTTTTTAGCTGTCGATGAAACCAGCCTCTCTGAGAGCTACTACAGAGTTGGGGAAACCTGACTACCAGCTGGCCTCAGAACCATAAAATTGAGTTTTAGAGCTGTACTCTCAGGAGATAATAGCTAGTTGCAACATTAGAATAATAGTTTTATTTTTCGTAGTGTTGAGAAAATTTAACAAAATTTGCTATATTCTTTTTAATTTATTAAATTAAAAAAATTAAAAAAAAAAAACAAAAAAAAACAAAACAATATTTATTATTTATTAAGTAATATAGAGTATATAACAGAATAGCATGTCCTGATGTGGAAATTATAAGGTTTTATCTCCCATTTATCATGCTGAGAAAATGTAATTTTCATTTTTATTCTCATGTTCATAATTATATAATTTTAGTATATTCTTCTTCTTGTTATTTATATAATTTCAAAAATTGTTTTTTTTTTTTTTTTTTTAACTTTAACTTTGTTAAACAAAGTTGGAATAAGCAAATAAAATATAAACAGCTTTAAAATTTATATAAATAATAACAAAAGATTACTTATAAAACATAAAAAACATATTTTATTAATATAAACACAAGCAAATGTAAAACATTTTTAGTAATTAAAAAAAGAAAGTTAAACTTTTCCGACAAAAGGGACATAAATCTCTATTATTTTAACATCATTCTGTAAAGACTGTCTACACAAATTACAGTCTACACAACATAGTCTACACAACTCTGATTAAGCAAGAGTTACAAAAAAAAATTCAGTTGTAAAAAAGTTTTAAAAAAGTAAAAAACAAAAAAAAAACAAAAAAACAAACAAACTCAACTAAGAAAAAAAGTTATTTTTTTTTTAAACCGCAAAAACAAGTTTTCACTGAACTCATTATTGGTGCAAAAATATGAAGTTGTAAACAAGTATTAAAAGTTTTAAAATAAATTTTCAAGCTGCATGAATTAGTGCTTTTGATACATTTGTTACCTAATGGGTGAGGCACAAAAAACTCTAGCTTAAGTTTTATAGTACATTTATGGGCAGAATCACATAAAGAATAGTAAATACAAAGATAAAGTAGGAAAACACCCTTTGTTTAAATGAGATTTTTTTTTTTTAAAAAAAAAAAAGACATTGATTTATGTTTATATAAGATTATTTTAACTATTTTAAGTCTTTAATTTTTTATTTTTTTAAATGTTAAATATTCTAAGTTTAAATGTTTGTATTATAGAATACATCGACTGACAAATAGCCTGACTCGCAAGGGAGTGCTGCTTCATCGACTGAAGGTTTGATTAGGGCAGGCAGTCTATCATTTAATAATAATTAAAAAAATTATTCAAGTTTTTAAACTATTTCTGGTCTGGTTTACTAGCACTCTCTTTAAAACTACAGTTTATGGGAAAAACTTTTCGACTACCATGCAAGACTATATATATATATATATATATATATATATATATATATATATATATATATATAATATATATATATATATATATATATATATATATATATATATATATACATATATACACACACACACACACGCACACAGCTGTTTTCTTAATACAAGCTCAATGAGTTGGTCAGAGAATAGTGACATTTGTTCCTTGATTTAGAAAATGGACCATTACTATAACTCACCTGACTCGAGAATTTTTATTAACAATTCCAAAAGGAACTGAAAATGTGTCCTGCTTCACAATGGCAACAAATTAGAAATGGCCTCCAAATTCGTTAACTGCTCAAGGATCATAATTTTGTAACAAAAATGAAACCTAATGAGTTTGACGCATGGAATCCCTTTGCTGGTGTTATATCTAATTTTCTTGGTAATCGTAAAGCTTTAAACTGTAAAGATCTGATTGAGTGTAAAATTTCACTTATTTCACAGCCACCTTCGCTATTTTTTTGAAAATCTTGGAACTGTAAGCAAAAAACAATGTGCACACATTCATCAAGATACTAAAACTATGGAAAAATACTACCAAGGACGATCGAACACTAATATGATGGATGACTTCTGCTGGTCTTTGTTTAGGTTATTAAACATTTTAGAAAATCAAAAAAAACTCAGCTTTTTTTTTTGCTTGAATGTACTTTATTCTAAAAATTAGAAATCACTGATGTTTGTCTAACATATAGTTTTGTGTAAAATTTGTTTGCTATTACCACCATGCCCACATTTTAGGGAAATATCCATAAGGATATTTCCCTAAAATGTATAGTATAAACTCATAGTATAGTATAAAGTCTCATTTATTGTAAAAACCAGACATCCAATGAAAAAAGAGTTGTTATTTTTGACTTAAGCATTATTGAATTGTATGAAATAAATTATCAGCTTTTTTTTTTTTAAATTTGTTATTTAGGTGCCCCAAGAAGTCCTAATGGTCTTGTCACAGAGCACCGCAAAAGTGCATTTAACCAGGAAGTTCACGCCTCCTTCCTTACCGTGATCTGAAAAAGCTTGTAATCAGTAAAAAAGTTAAAATTTAATTTGCAGATTAGTAGTAGTAAAGTATATTTATTATTGTCTTATTTACCATACTGCAAAAATAAATCTTATTTACATTACAAAAAAATTTAAATAAGAAAATAATAAATCTTTTGCCAGATTTGTCAGCTAGTTTTTTTAACAGCACAAAATATTCATATTACTAATAATAGAATAAACAAACTATAAAAAGCATAGAGTGATTAATTATTTCAACCTTAGAATCTATCTAAAAATCTTTTGAAAAACTACTCAATAGCATGTTTTTTGTAAGTGCAATGCTCGTTTTTTCCTGTTATATTAATGATATTGCTATTATATATTTATCAAAACATAGGCTTTAAAATACAGTTATAACCAAAAAGATCCAATCACTTATAATTATTATAGATAATTACTTACAAATGCAAAATACGCATGCTAATAATACACTAAACAATCATACATTGTGTGGGTGATTATGCAGTTGTCATTAGAAAAAGATTTAGAACCAATAGAAAAATATTTAGAACCAATAGAAAAATATTTAGAAACAATAGAAAAATATCTTATATGCTTTATATATATATTAAAGTCATGTGTAATTTAATTATTATCTTAAAGTATGGCTACAACATTGCTAGATAAACATGCACGAATATAACTTTTAATGAAAGACAGCAAGTCTAATAGAATGATAGTTACACATTTGTTTATGACATCATTCAGCCCATTAATTTAACAGATTTTTCTTTTATTATTATTTTTTCTAATGTTAATTCACCTCCCCAAGGCCACGAGTCCATTACAGTCAAGGAGACTACTTGAATTGAGGATGCAATCCTCTTTCAATTCCAAAACACAACCTTGTTGAACAAGGCCGCTGTGCTGAGAAACAAATTAAGCGTGGTACTACCAGGAACATGGTGGGGATGAAACTTGGAATTTCTTGCTTGTGAGACGAGCGCTCTACCACTACACCACTACTGCATAAATGACATTAATCCAGGAAAATCCTATGTAATATCAATAATTATTATTGCAAAACCAGCAGTATAAAAAAACAACATAGAAGATTAATCATTTCATGAAATACCTATATGCCATTTGGCTATGAAGAACATAGAGATTTTAAGATCACAAACTCTTACTCAACTGCCTCATAGTGTGAGGCCTAGCAAGGGACTTAAATCATACAGTAATTTATTTAAAAAGTACTTTTTGTATTGACATCAAATATTAACTACAAAATCAGTCCAAATTCTTTAAAAAAATAACCAAATAGCAAGAGCTTACTTTGAACGAATCAAAATGGCATTCAGAAGGTTTTTTGATTAACAATTGTTTTGAAAATGTATATTCTGAGGTATAATTAAGAACACAACTTGTCTTGGTACTTGGGGATTCTTTTAATAAAGATACAAAAAAAAATCCTTTGTAAACATAAGAAATATATATATATTTCTTATGTTTACTAAAGCTGTTCAATTGTGATTATCTCTATATTTTAAGGTTTAGATTTTGACCGTGTTTTTATATTTTAACTTTTAACATATTTTAAAGCATAACAGTTAAAAATGTGTTTTTTTTTTTTCAGCATAAAAGATGTATATAATAGTAAAAAAATATCCATTTAATTATGATTACATTATTAAAACTGATATTTTACTTTCCTCATTACATAAGCAGAAACCTCCATTTGTGTTTGAAAATGGAATAAATCAAATTGATTTAAAGTTTGCACTAAATTATGCTTAAAATGGCAGTGGTGTTTCACAATTTTGAAAATTATCTATTGTTGCTAATACGTTTTCATTAAAATTTGATAATTGCAACTTAAATCATATATATTTTTAAATTCTTATAAGAAAACATTATAGTTAATCGAGAATACTTTATAACCATTTCAAAAGTATTTTTAAGTCATGAAAAAAAATTCAGTGCAGGGCTTTATTTAACTATTATTAACTATTAACAACCAACAACAAAAATCATATATTACCACCATAAGGCGGGAATGAAGTAGGATAAGCTGGACCTCCTGGTGGAATGTAACCTGGTATGGTTGGGTATGCTCCAACATCGGCTGGTGGATAAGCAATGTTTGCTGGAGGGTACTAGATAATAAGCAAATAAGAAATTAAATACTTAACTATGTTATACTAGGATATTCACACACAACACACAACAAGAAACTACACATAAGAACTTAAAGCTTTGAATTTTACAAATTAAATTATTCTAAATGTTGAAAAATGGGATTAAACTAAAAACCAAAAAATCCAACCAAATTGTCAGAAAAGTAAACCATAATGCGAATGTTTAAATAAGTAAACATTTGTTTTATGGTTATTTTTTTTAATGAGGGAACCCTTGTTTATGTTTGCGCTACGTAAAGTATTTTAGTAAGTGGCTTTTGATAAAATAAAAATTGTAATTAAACAAAGATTACCGCTTTTCTGCTTTTTTTTTTTTTTATTTCCATTAAATATTTTATTTTTATGTACCGTGAGACCTAATAATTTTTTACTATTTCTTACTAAATACAAAAAGTAAAATAGTATTTTTGGTTTTAAGACATTATTAGCTGGACTTGTTTTTAACAAATACCAGTATAAATTTATGTATCTTATATTTATAGCACTAGTATTAGTTTTATTTTAAAATAAAATAGATATAAATAAAATAGATAAGTTGGGCTTTTAAAGAGCTTATTCATTTGATTTAAAGAGTTTACTCATTGATCGTGTTATTTTTAATCGGTTTAAAGTTTGGTTCGTTTTATGAAATTTAATGAAAATATATAATGAAATTCTTCTACATACAATTTAACGGCAAAGGGAAAACCCAAATATAACATTTATAAATCGAGTTAAAAAGAATTTTTTTGTATTGACCTCAAAATTATTAACTATAATTAGAACAGTATTTACAGCTGGAACTTACCTTCGAGAAAAAAAATGGGACTTAAAATTGTAAAGTTTAAACTTATCAACCTTTTTTTTAACATTTTGGCTTTAACAAAATCTTAACATACTACTCATAAACTAGTTATCAGTTTAAATCAATGTTCAGTCTATAATCAATTCAAAAATTAATAGTAAAGAAAAAAATTTTGTTTAAAAAAACTGAAAGTATAAAATAAAGTTATATGTAATACGAACATTTTAAAATAAATCAAATTAAATTGAATTTTTTTTTTTTTTTACATCAACATAGTTCGGAAATTTTATCAGTAAAAAAAAATTATAAAACAGAGTGGTTTAAAATTTTTAAAAAGATTTTAATTAAATTTAATAAAATAAATTACTAAAACTACTAAAACTACGATTAATAATAAATTTAATTTAAATACTATAAAAATAAATACAAATTAAAAACCTTTTTAAAAACGGAAAGTAGAAAAAAAATTTGAAACTATCTTTTTTTTTATCTAGTAAAAAAAAATATTTTACAACAATTAATTACAGCTTAATGTTTACCGCATAATCTTTTCTAAAAGATCTGTCTAAAATAAATTAATTGAAAAAAATTTTTGTGTAATGTAAATTGCAAAACGCGTACGTGAAATCGTGAATACGTACATAAAATTCAAATAGGGAAACGTTTCTTAACAAGGCCTGTTATATATATTTACCATATATATTTATTATATATATATACATATATATATATTTTTTTACACACACACACACATCTTATTCTGGTGGTTTAGGTGAACAGTCTGACGTCATACTGAAATTGCCTGCTGCCGGGGGCTTCAGTACATACATTGACGGACAAATAGCCTGACTTGCAGCAGAGTGCTCCTACATCGACTGAGGGTTTGGCACAGGGCAGCAATCTTTTCTTTCATTATTCTTCGTTTTTTCTATTTTTTCTGAAATTTTATATTTAATTAATGTAACAAAAATATAGTAACATTTTGTTACCTAAATATGCTTTAGTAGATATAAATGTATATACACATACACATATATACGCAGGCCTCGGTGGGAATAAATGAGCACGAGAGCAGAGAAAAACTCTCCTAAAATGAACTTGGGGAGCTGTGCAAGCTGCTCCTC